TAATACTTTGTTTACAATTTAGTGTGCACATCAAATTATTTTACAATAATTTCAACGATTTATAAATAAAATTTATACCGTTAATTTTACTCATACATAAAAGTATTGATACATATCAATACAAAACCATTTACATTGAAGAATCTATATCATCAAATATATTTAAAAAGAATATTTGCCTAAATACTATTTATTTATAATGTAAAATCAGAAGTTTACATAAAATAATCTTGTCTTTACAATTAATTTATTATAAATTTAAGTTAATAAATGCATTATAAATAATTAAAATAACGTAGATATTCGAAATTAAAAAAATTATCTTTTATTTCTTCACTCGACTTGTATAATTACAAGTCTATTAATTATATTAAATAAATAATTACAACTGCTTAATCCGAGTAATAGCAATTTGAGTTAGTATTAAAATTATCAAAGTTAGATTGTTCTGTATGTATGTTTTATTATTTTTTAATAATGAAGAATTTATGTTTGTATATTGATTGTGCATATGTTTATAGTTAAACTGCAGATTTTGTAAGCAGAAATTTTAGGTTTAAATACAGTTACTCTTCATACAATAAGAGGATATGTTATTATTTTACGTTTTAATAATGTAAGGCATTTAAAAGTATAACAAAATTAAGACATTTAAAATTGATCTATTGATTATTTGAATATAAACAGAATTAAACAAAAGCTCGCTTCATGTCTACAAAAAGTTAAATTTTCTTAAATAAGAAAGAACGCAGATCATTATGAAATATTTTATATAAATATAATTAAAAGAAAAATGAACGATGATAATAGAAAAATAATTAATAATTATATATAACGGATAGTTTATAGAATGAATTCGTGGAGAATCGTCAATGTATGTTAGCATGCAATTAACACAAAACATTCAGATCATACGTGAATTCGATTTTCACGTTACTTGAACGCCAATTATCTTTAATATTGATAATCTATATATTATATTGCTTGTAGGTAATGAAAATATTACATAATTTATGTTTTATATTTCAAATATGCTACAATTTGTTGAGCATTCCATTTAAAAAATGAAGAAGACAATAATTGTCAACATTTGTATTATGTATATATTTTTTAATCAGGCTATTTAAAATTGAGCTATAAGTTCAAAATCTCTCTAATTGAACAATATAATGGAAATATATTTGAGATGAAATAGGATTCACAATGTAACGTGTACATTGATAAGTATAAAAATAAAAACTATAATAAAAAAAATTGTACTTAAATTTTTATTGAATTTTTCTATATTTCACTCAAATATTAACTGGAAAGTACTATTCGTACAAACAAAGAATCAATTTTATAGAGATTATTTGGAAAAGTAAACAATTTCATTTGATTTATATTAATTTTATTATATTGAATTATTATTTGTTTATACCGATATAACCGTCACTTAGTTATTGCTAAAGTGATCATCGCGACATTATTGGACAATTGTTTTATACATGAGTTCTGAATCGGTGTAAGCGCATTTTTTTCGTATTAATTTCCCAAAGCTTCCCATTACAGGTAGCGTTCGAAAAGCTTTTTGGCCACTATCGAGGAATCAGATATTCCAATCATATAAAGAGAAAATACGAGCAATCAATTATTTCTTTTAAACTGAAAATTTTGTATTAAATAATTTAACAAAAGGCTGCTAAATCTTTCGTACATATAATAACTTTACTATAATAAATTTACATTTACAAATATTACGTGATATTTTATTAATATTTTTAATGGTAATTAAAAATTAAAAATTAAAAAAAAAAGTCACGTTAACTCTTTGTGAATTGCTTACACTGTGTAACAAAGCCCAAAAGAATTCAATGTTCCATACAAATAGCAACGAATAATACATTCAATAATTGAAAAAGGTAATGTTTTAGGGGAAAGGACAATTATACGAGTAAGAAAACTTCCGTTAGCGTGACGTCAAGTAACAAATATAAAGTACAATACAAATAAGTTGATTACGCCAATCTACCATTTTAATTCCAGCCGACCTGTCTGTCGACAAATTAGCTCAACAGATATTCCAAAAGTCTGTGCGTGGACATATTATCAATCTTAAATTTTTAATAATTTTACGTAAATTGCAAACGCGCGCAATTTTGACCGGTAAATTCAATTATGATGTACCATAATTAGAAATCTTGAAAAACATTTTCTTATAAAGTGAACATTTGTATGTAAGTTTAATTTTTATCGTTATGAAGTACATAATTACTTTTTATTCTAAATAAAAATTTTTTAAAACTTATTAGTGATAAGTGAATAAGTGATTTATTTCTTTGATGCTTTTACAGTTTGCAGCTTAATTAAATCCCATTATACTATACTTCTTATTTCAATTCTTATTTAATACTTATTTAAACCGAAAAACAACGATTAAAATTTATGATTAAACAATATATTAACGATATTGCGGAACAATAATATTCAAATTATTATATATAATTCATTTCTAATTTCTAATTATAATATTATATATTATTTAAATAATTACAAACTTATATAATAAATAATCTCGGGAACACCAATTATTTACTTACAGTAATTTTGATTTCTTCGGCTGAAATTTTTAATGTATTTATATTTATAATTAGTGATTTTTTTTTTCAGTTTATATTAATGCAAAAAATCTTGATTATTAAAAAAGAACTAACGTTCCTAATATATCAAGAAATTTTATATAAGATGAGATATATGCATGTAATTCATCAAAACTTTGTAATACTTATTTTAATGTGTTAAAAGAGAAAATTTACTGCTGACATCAATATGAGAATATATTTTGAAAATATTCGTATGATGTTGATTTATTTGAAATCATTGTTATGTTTTCTTTGACTTTTTTTTCTATTCAAAACCAGTATGAGAATACATTTACAGGTTTTTTTTTTTTTTTTTTTTTTTTAAATAAAATAATTCAAAGCACTAGTAGATCGTCGGCCTCCTCTATACTTATAGCGTCGAAAAACGCTAGTCAATTGTAAACGTTGATACAATTAGGGTGAACTGGCCTCTTTTTTTCTCGATCGATAAAAAAAAAGGAAAAAGAAAAAGAAAAAAAAAGAGAGAAAGCACAGTAAAAGGTTCGTGGTATAGCGAGAGGTGGGAATACCTTCGATAGTAATCGTATTTGAGAGGCCATTCGCGCTATGCGGATTTTAATCGATCATGATACATCAGCAAGTTTGCCCTGCGAGGGAGTTCGTAGGATAATTATAAGCAAAGTACGAGGATACAACGAAGATGTTACTGAAGGGATTTTATTAAAGACTACATTATTAATAATCAATATGCCAGTGATTACTTTGATAATTACTTGATAATAAATTCTTACGATGAATTTTGCAGTAAACAGTCTTATAATGGGCTTTAATAAATCCTTGGTCTCATAACAATTATAATAAAAATACATCGTTACACAATTAAAGAAATATAAAGCTCAGCGACTCGCGTAGATTATTTCTTTAGGATAAATTGAAAAGAAGCTATTGTTTAAAGTGTGGAACACGCGTAAAACTATTATTTTTGCTGTCGGGCAGAAAATAAACATCCACGACTTAAATACGTTCAAATTCTAATAATCGCCACGATTCGCACAGGCGATCAATCTCGTTGAGAACGCCTTCCAGTAGTTTCAGCTCGAACTATTATTTTACCTATAATCACTATTGTTATTTACTCTAGATGACAGTAAGCACGAAAGTATCTTAAGATGTTTTAAGTAAGTTTCGTCAATACACGCTCTTAATTGATTTAACTTAGATGAAATATAGTATAATGTACGAGTGTACTCCAACATGGCACGGAATCAAATATTTACAAGCTCGTATCATCACCACGAGACCGCGATAATTTCTCAAAGCTCGGAATGAAGAATCCGCTTGGAAAGATTATGAACAGAATCGAGAAGATCGCCACAAGAGACTCCCTCGGTAGCGTCTGCTATACCCCCTCTTACCCTACCCTTCCCACCCCACTCCTCACGATACGAGGAATTATAAGGGTCGTGCAAACGGCGACGCCCCATTATTTGCGTGGCATTACTTCTTTTTGGAGGGCCGCCCATTTTACGCACGGCGTTGCGGTCCGCCAATTGGAAAGTTAGCGACATTCCGACTAGTGTTCTCCACGAATACGCAATCCTCTTTACGTATTATGCGCGATGGATATCGCTCGTGGGAATCGCGGTATTGAGGACGTCACCTTGGCCTCTGCCCTCAACTGATGCTCGCTGACCAGGTCGGGATTTGTAGAGGACTCGCACCAAGAACTTCGCATCGTCGTTGTGGAGAGTCGTCAGTGCGCGCGTTTTAATAATCGAATCTTTTCGTGCTCTTTTAAAATATAGGTGTTCGGCCTCCGCGTGTAGCTGGAACTTTCAAATTCCGTTCGAACGACTGTTGATTGCATGGATCTTCGGCTTGGTCTATATGTTTTTGCACGAGATGTAAATGACCGTTGGCCGGAGACTCGTAGAAAGAAAAGTGAGACCGACGTAAGCACTCGGTAGAAAAATATCGTTCCGGTTATGTTGCGAATGATAGAAACGGCTTTTTTAGATTGTTTTAAATAATTATTTTTAAAATTTTAATATCTAGCCATAATTTTGTATTTATTTATTTATTTATTTATTTTTTACCATTATTTTTTCTATAATTATTATTTTTATTAGTAGTAGTACTAGTAGTAGTAATGGTATTATTAATACGTTTATAAGTATTGAATAAGCGTTATTTAGGGTAATATTAAGGCTCGCCTATGTCCCAGTAGAGTAAGTGATAAGTTTCAGAACAATATTAAATTTACTATGAAAATATTAAAGTTCAAGGCGTTTCGATTTTCTTTGAAAAATCGTGAAAAAGGAGTGAGATTAAGAATAAGCAGGGACAGGCACGAATGCGCATACTTTTCTTATTTATATTACGTTATTTATATTGCAAAATGAACGCTTTTATTTACAGATCAACAAGATAGATCGAAGGGGTTCGAAGAGTCCGGTGCTCAGAATACGGAAAAATGGCGCAGACAGGTGGGGATATTGGCGACTCCGCCCGGGGGTAGCTTTCCCACGCAGAATGCCGGCCCGGTTAGATTCGAGCCTCCCTCGGTACCGGTTATTTTCGTACTCGGTAATTATGTATTTGTACTTTTACATTTTTAGCACATTTGTTTATATGCTAAGTAATCACAAATTATTATCTTATCGCGATAATACTTTAATTTAATGTATTTTACGAACAGGTAGAAGATTGAGTAGGGACTATCATGCATCCTCACCAATTTAAGATTGCGAAGCATTTGTAATGAATCGATTTGTAATTCGATTATATTCATAATTAATGTTTTGATAAATTTTAATTGAAGAACGAAAAGATATTAGGAACATTTTAACTCGTTTTACGAAAGATACTTTAGTATTTTAATTTTTTTTTAAAAAAATCATTGAATTACTTCCTTTTTAAAGAACGAGCACAAGCATTATATAATGATAATAAAAAATAATGCTTAAGCGCGATTAAAATGAGAAAATTATGATTTAACAGGAGGTCCTGGCAGTGGTAAGGTGACACATTGTGACAATTTCACGCAAGAGAAGAAGGGACTGGTTCACATAAATATGACGGATTTACTGCAGCAGTATGCTTTGGGTAATGGTGAGTATTAGAAAAATAATTGAATTGATTGCTTATTTTAGAATTAGACAGCGAAACATTCCAAAAGCTTTATATTTTATGTATAAAATTACGAAAATAATAGTCGAAATAATAATAGTATGTAAATATTACTGTGGCAAGTGATTTTTCATCTACTTCAAATAATATTTATGAATTTTAAGTGTAGCCAAATATTTTAAAAGTAGGAAGCTAAAGTAAAAAAAAAGTGATTTATCCATTATCATAGAAAAATAATTTTAAAAAAGCAAAATTTTTTATAAATCGTTTCGTGCTTATGCTTGAAATTGAATAAAAGGTACATGGTTCATTGAACATTATATAAAATTGAATGTAATTATAATTGTAATTGAATAATTTCGATAGAGGTAGACAGAGAGGACTTAAGCATGGAATATAAAAATTTTAATTTTTTAAAAGAATAAGAAGAATTTAAAAGAATAAATTTTTTAAAAGAATACAATATTTTTCTCTTATACTTAACAAAAACTCGAAATTCCGTCAGGGTTATGCTATTTCATATAATAGACATATACATTTCAAATACATATTCACGAGGTTGAAAAGACGACTACGAAGACAAGTACCTTTTTATTACATACTTATGCCTCTACGTCCACGTGTAAACATAAACATAGATAATTTCACAAAAATGACTAAGTAATTTCTGTGCCCGTGGTCAATATAAGAATAGTCTCGACCTAAATTGATTTTAACGCGAGATCGATAAGTAATAGAATATTTAGTTGTACAATAAAGATACCACATTGACTTTATAAAATGTTGAGAAATCTGAATTTACAAGTGTACTGTTGCTATAAATTTGATGAAAATGTTCCAAATGAGCTATAATGCCGTTAACAATAATTAAACGACAACTCAACATAATATTCTACGCCTCTACAACTCATCTATAAACTGACCTAAAAAATTACTGGTTACGCTGTTTTTTCTTATATTTATTTTAACGCGATGATTTTTAATTGCTTTATACATGTTGCCAAGATCATGCAATTCAGTTGTAAAGTTAAAAAGGCATTACTAGTTGAAGTAAATGTTGTGCATATGCTGTTGAGTGATAACAGTATCTTTCTTTATCGAAGATATGTGAAAATACATTTTTATTCATCGTTTTGTTTACGACAAATATTGATTATAAATTTTATTTTATATTGTTACTTTATAATTGTCGAATTTTAAAACCAAATTCAAGCAACTAATTTTTAAATGTTTTTTATACACTATACACAAAATATGAATCAACATTTTAGTTGAAGAGAAATAATTAAAATTCAATGATTTATGAACCAAATTTGTTCAACATTCACTATCCCTCAATAGGCCACTTTGGCTCACATAATTAATATTAATAAAAAATATAAAATTCAGCGTAATAGCTGATTTTTGCGAATAGAGATTGATTGGGCATATTAATGAGCTTTGAGTAGAATAAATAAGTAATATATTTATTAGTAATATATGAGTATTTAGTAATATATAGTATTAAGAAATCGTATTTGCAATGCAGCGTCGATGCCGTTTTTAATTTACGGTATTCTCTCTGAAGTTAATTGTACTCATTCATTAGGTCTTTTAGTTCATAGAAATGAAAATATATTTGTAAAGACTAAATAAATTAAAAATAATTTTAACACATCATATATAGTATTTAAAAGCAATAACAGTTAAAATAATTCTGAAAATTATAATTATCTTTATATATAAATATAAATTTGTACCTTAATAATAAATAAAAAATGACAAAAAATTTACACTTGCATTTGTAAATGCCAAGTTGTCTTTAATCCTCGAATTGTTTATTCATTATCGAAGAGAGTATTTCTATGTGATATAAAACTATTTTTATATACTTCATGTAATATTTATTTTGTTTTCTTCGCAAAAATTGAAAATACAGTAAATTATTACATTATGGGTTATGAGTAATTCACGATTGATAGGAAAATAGAGAATAGAACTATTAGTCGCTGTAGATGATCTTATCGCCTATTATTGAAAATAGTATCGATTAAACGACTAGTGTGTGAGTAAGAAAATGAGAAAGTAAGATATGTATTTAATCTGGAATTAAGGATTAGCCTATATAATACAAGTATTGAGCTTGCGTTAAATTATTTCCCAGTATTTGGGATCGGGATATCCTCTGAACTTTCTCTCTAAACCAGTAGATACCTAAAACTCGTCTGTTGGAACTATCGATGATTACTGAGAATGAAAGATAATCAATATGTTATCACGATGTAGAATAAGAATATGAGAATGTCGAATCTTTATAGTTGAAGCAGTAATATCAATGTGAGTTTTAATATTGTTTGGCGAAATTAGGAGACTAAGTTTTATGCTTAATTAATTCTTAATTAATACATTTTATGCACTGGTAATATAATATATTATCGTTATAATAGTCGTTCCCTTTTTCCTGTAAATTACTAATATACCTTATGTCTACTACTATGGTTATATATAAAAGTATATTATAATAAAAAATATATAAATAAAATAAAATATAACAGTATAATATTTTAAACAAAATTTTATTTCCGGCCATTTTAATAGCCTAATCATAAAAATGTGATAATACACGCTTGCCACTTTATGATTTCATACTAATTATGAATCAAAACAATAATTAAATATAAAAGCATAGGTTACTTAGCACAAAGAAAATCGTCTGTACAAATATGATTTAATGCATATTTTAATTTGAAACCATACATGAAAAGATAATCTTAGCTGTACAATTGCAAAATAGGACGTGTAAGTTTGATTATAAATTCATTTATTTTTTATTTTGTATATATATATATTCACAGACATAAATATTTTATCATAAGTATAGTTAACATTAAATTTAACCTAAATCGTTGATGACATCATCAAAAAAATTTCTGTAGAAGGAAACGACCATATGAATATTAATAAGTCGTGGATCTCGATCTGCCAATGACCTTGGAACTGTTCCTTTGTTAATGCCTATAAGAATATTTTGAAAAAAAAGCGGTCCGCCACTATCACCCTAGAACAAATATTACAAACACCTGTATTTTTATATATTTTTCCGTAGTACTTCAAATATGAGAAATTGAAATATTTGATAATAAATTTACATATAATTCAAACAAAATTAAATCTAGACAATTTTATTTTTCTGCACAGCGAAACGCATGACTTATATTTTAAATAATTACGCGTTTAATAATAAAAAACAATTATAATGAATTTTATACAGATTATGTTTTTTAGAATTCATGTTGTTTTTTAAACAAAAATGGGATACAAAGTTTTATCTGGTTTGAGAAATTGTTCAATTTTACAGTGTAATAATGCCGTAAATTTCCTTTTTCTCATATTCCAATCTGAAATAATGCAAAGATATGTAGAAGCTTTGTTGTCCTTTACGTAGAAAAGATTGAAGCATTCGCATCATCTTTAACTATATTTGTTAATAAATAGGAATGAAACAAAGAATAATCCAGAAAAGAAAGTATAATTGAAAGCTTTTGAAGGCCAAGAACTGAATGCCAAAAAAAAAAAATAATAATAATGAATCGTCTTAATAAATAGTGTATCTAAATTGTAAAACATAATCAATAATAAGGAATTTTAAACGAATTAATTAAATGATTAATCAAATTAAATGAATGTTTAAAAATAATTATCAAAAAAATCTTAAAAAAATAATTATTTTACCTAATATTGTATATAATATTAAAGCTATAAATGAATATTTATATATAAATATTTTTAAGATATAATTTTTGTCAATTATATTAGCTAACGATTAATTGGATTTATCTAAGTAAGCGCTTTTCTCTTTTTAATATTTATTTTCCCGATTGCTTTCTATCTTTATGAAAGCCAAATCAAATTCTAAATCAATTATAAACCACATCAATGCAAATATGCAGTTATACCACACTCTGTAATGAAAAAATTATTATATATATTGTTTATTAGTTATAAAATTCTTTCTATGGGCGATAGACTGTAAATAATTGTTCATATATATATATATATATGTATGAATAATAAATAAATTATTTTAAATATATTTAATAATTAAGATTGTGATAATTTATAATATTTATTTATTAATGTGAAATTAATATAGTAGTCAATTGCTAAAATATTATTTGATCCTTACCAACTCACAATCATATTTATATAAAGAAATTATTACTTACATCGTTCAATAGCGTATAAGGCTCTGCTACAGAACAAAATATTTGCCTTTTATCAACAACCAAGTCATCTCCTAAACGTGTTAATCGTTGATTGCAATTTTTATTATTTATAATTGTTAATTTTGCTATTTTCAATTGTGAATTATATGAAGAAGTATTGGTTAGACCCCAACCAGCTGTGGATGCTTGAAAGTTATTAAATGAACGTATAGGGATGTTGGACAATGTTATTGGTTCGATCCTATTGTCTACACTATTCAATAGCTAAAAATATATATTCTATTTAATTTACAGATGATTTTATTTGCAAAGTAAAAAGCGCATTGTAAATTATATTGTAATGCTATGCAGAAGAGTTAAAAAAAAAGTATTTAATTACTTTGAAAATTAATTTACCCTTATAATAGCCACGTCATTAGCTGGAAAAATAATCTTTTTATCTTTAATTCTCGACCACTGGTCAAATGTCGTCCACCAAGCTATATTATATTTCAAACACTGTGTTAACTCGGAGGATCCGACGACAATTTGTATCATATCAGTCTCCTCGAAAATAACACAGTGCTCCGCAGTTACCACATCTTGCCTACTTACGAGACTTCCTGTACACAAATGATTTCTCGATCGGATCCTATTTGATTCAGTAACTCGCATTAAGGACACAACAAATGGAAATTCGTTTGCTTCCGCGTCTCGAATATTGTGACCAATTAAGGCTTTCATATTGACTAAGAAATATTGGTTACCTGATAACATTTTTTTTATATAAATAAATAC